TAAAAGCAGGGGTTGGGTGGAGAGGGTGCATTCAGAAAAGTTCTTCCTGAGTTCCCATAAAGAAGGACTAGAGGACACCAAAGGAAAGGAATGGGTAGCAGGCTTCAAACTAGTAAGAGAAAGTTGTTCTTGACAAAGCAAATAGTTAACCTGTGGAACTCCTTGCTGCAGGAGGCTGTGAAGGCTACAACTAGAATAGAGTTTAAAGGGAAGTGAGATCAAGTCATGGAGGTTGGGTCCATGGAGTGGTCTTAGCCAGGGGGTAGGAGTGGTGTCCCTGCCCAAAGTTTGTGGAAGACTGGAGAGGGATGGCACGAGACAAATGGCTTGGTCACTGTCTTCGGTCCATCCCCTCCAGGGTCCCTAGGGTTGGCCGCTGTCGGCAGACAGGCTACTGGGCTAGATGGACCTTTGGTCTGACCCAGGACGGCCATTGTAAGCTCAGGGCTCAGGGTCGGGGGTCTCAGTGGACCCCCTTGATTTTCATGCACACCTGCTCCTGGGTGGTCAGGCTGACAGCTCTCCTGCCCTAGACGGCCACTTTCCTGTGCCTAATGCGGAGATCGTGGACGAGGTCCACGATGTCCGCACTAGCCCAGGAAGGTGCCCGCCTCTTGCGGTCCAGGGCAAGCTCCCGGGAGCCGCCAGCCTGGTCCCGGCAAGAGGGGGTGGGCTGGGAGGCATCGGGTGGGTGGCTCTGTGCCGTGCCAGGTGCAGGGTCTGCTAGCTGGGTGCTGGCAGGCTTGCACCTGGCACGGGCACCGTAGCCAGCCCGTGCCCCTTTAAGGGGTCCGGGGCCGGGAGGGGGGCAGACGAGCGTCCCTGGTGTTGGCCAGAGTAGCCACCAGGGAAACCTGGGGAGGGCTAGCCTCCCACTAGTTCGAATTAAGGGGCTACACACCCCTTAATTCGAACTAGCTAGTTCGAACTAGGCTTAATCCTCGTAAAATGAGGTTTACCTAGTTCGAACTAAGCGCTCCGCTAGTTCGATTCAAATTCGAACTAGCGGAACGCTAATGTAGCGCCTAGGAAAGTTAGTTCGAACTAACATCCGTTAGTTCGAACTAACTTTTCAGTGTAGACATACCCTCACATCAGAAGCAATAACCAGGCTCATTCCAGCCCTTAGTCTGATACATGAAAATCTGGGGTTACACAATTGAAATAACTGGGAATTGAACAGTCCAGTTTTCACCCGCAAATAGCTTGTTTCAAAGTCCCTTTTCTTTCCCAAATACGAAAACTATATAGTACCATTTATTTTGGGCTCCTCTGTCAATAAGCACAGATTTCCCAAAGGGCAAGTCAAAAAGTTAGCTTTAAAATTCTCTTAGGCTGTCACTCAGTGAGTCACTCTTTTTTTGGCCATTCCACCAGGATTCATGTCAGCTGCATTTTTATCCATCACAATCTACTTCCAACTGTTGTTTTAGAGGATCAATCTACAGTTTAGTTACAGTGCAGCTCCTGGTTGTTTATTTAAAAAAATAAAGGCCATATGGGAATTTGCATCAGCAGAGGCTATTACCTCAAATTCAAAACCTCTCTCTATGTGGTAGGTACCTATCAGTCTAATATCTAAATGCTAATGGGGCTCCACAGATAAAACTGGAAGAAGATTATGGTCTACAAGAACTTTCTTACTGATGATAGTACCTAAGAAGGAAAGAATCCAGCCTGACTGTCAGTTCCTTGGGTGAGCTCTCAGGAGATGGCAGTTGTAAAAATCAATTTTTTGCCTTACAAGCTGCATAAATTTGATGTGGGATAACTGAACAACAATAAGAACCCCCACAATACTTTGTTACTTTTCAGAAGAAATACAACTGCATTTTGGTAGACAATGCTTGAATGAGCACTCAGGTCAGAGAAGAGAAATTTCAGGTTCTTAACAGCTAGATTTCCTGGCACTGCAGTATCATTTCCTGGCAGTACTTCATTTATTCAAAGAAGACAAACTGTGTGGGAGGCTCTTAGATAAGAACATAAAAAAACGAGACTCTCTCTGCTTTTTGTAGATAGCAAAGAACCTTTTATAAAATGTTTTTCATATGATCAGGGGTCTTATGTAGTGACTTAGGTCAACATGTCTTTTTTTCCTAACCAGGCTAGTTAGGAGCTGCATTTCATTGGGTATGAAAGGCATTAAAGAAATAAAAGACATTATTAATAACACAGTTGAATATCATAGAGAAGAAAAGGTTTCCTGTGTTTAGAAACAGGATATGAGATAATTAGCCATCTTGTCTCTTCAGGAAGAAGTGGGGGAAACAAACTCCTTTGTTTGAACTAATGCGTCCTGGCACACACTTTCACTTTCAAAACAGCTGTTGATTGGAGTAAAACGCCGGCGAGATCATGCTAATGAAGCGCGGGATATTTAAATCCCTGCTTCATTGACTATTTTGAATGCCTACATTTGCATCCCTAGTTCGAACTAGGGTGCAAGTGTAGACATACCTAGGATAAGTATCACCCCTTCATGGAGACACCATTCTCCCGATATTTCCACAGGAGTTCCTAATAGCACTTTAGTATTATCATAGCACTAAGCCAGTGGTTCCCAATCTTTTTGAGCGTACAGACCCTTTTCAATCTATTAAAATTTCACAGACCTCTCTCCCTTGGGGAGAAAAAAAAAGAAAGAGAAAAAAAGAAAAAGGATTGGGTCCAGCATGGTGGGCTCAGTCCTTATCTTTAAACTTTCCTGGGATCCCCTGCAGTAGGATTGCAAACTACCAAGGATCTGTGGACCCTAGGTTGGAAACACTGCACTAAGCTAAGAGATGTTACATTTATTTACAATATACTGGAATTACAAGTGCTAAAGGGGAAATGCTCAAAACTTTAACAATGATTGTCAGACTGTGCATAGTATGCAAATATTGAATGAAAAAGCACTGGTCTCTGGGATCCCCTGCAGTAGGATTGCAAACTACCAAGGATCTGTGGACCCTAGGTTGGAAACACTGCACTAAGCTAAGAGATGTTACATTTATTTACAATATACTGGAATTACAAGTGCTAAAGGGGAAATGCTCAAAACTTTAACAATGATTGTCAGACTGTGCATAGTATGCAAATATTGAATGAAAAAGCACTGGTCTCCCCTTCCCCCATTTTCATATCCATTTTCTATGTATTTACATTTATAAATATACATCTCAGGAAGACCCAAATTTTGATGTCCCACTTTTGCACTCCTTTGAAAATGTTATTTATATTAGGCATGTTAAAATTTGTTTTAATTAAGTAAATGTGTAATCACTGAGATTTTCACTGATTGCACATTTACATGCGAGGGAGAAGAAACAGGTGGCTCCCTGGGACCTGGTGTATGCGGGAAGCCAGCTGTATCAGCAGCAGCGCGGCGGGGGGAGGGGAGTCCCCAGGACTTGGTGTGCGTGGGAGCCTGCATGTAACTGTGAAGGTTGGTTAACTGATAAGACCGGGCTCGTTGGTTAACCGTGTACATAATTAAATTTCCACATCCCTAATTTATAACCAGTCACAACTTATGCCTATTGTAGCAGATTTAATTGGTTGAGTTAATGAACTCTGGACTGAAATGAAACATTAGTTCATTAATGTTCCTCTTGATTGCACACACAAAAAATTATGGTTGAATAACAGAATATTAGTAAGCTGTGACATTAGCAGAACCTGAATTTGGTAGGAAAAATTGTGTTATCTCCTAGTGTAGAAAGTATGTTAAGTGAAAATAATTAACATTTTTCACCCGTTACCCTCAATGAAAATACTATTTTAAAATGGCATGCCAATGTGTAAATGGCTGGTCCCAGTTCATTTAAAGGAATTGTATTGTTTTTATATAGAAATACACCCATTTTCGGCTGGGCACTACTATTTCAGTAGTATGTAATTTTCCACTTACTGTTTTGTTTTAAAATAATGCAACTGAATAAAGCAGTGAGGGTATGTCTACACTACCACCCTAGTTCGAACTAGGGTGGTAATGTAGGCAACTGGAGTGGCAAATGAAGCCCGGGAAATTCAAATCCCGGGCTTCATTTGCATGTTGCCGGGCGCCGCCATTTTTAAATGTTCGCTAGTTCGGACTCCGTGCCCCGTGGAACGAGGAGTACAGGTAGTTCGGAATAGGAAGCCTAGTCCAAACTACCTAGTTCGTGCTGCATGTAGCCGCGTGTAGCCACGGGGCACGGAGTCCAACTAGCGGACATTTAAAAATGGCGGCGTCCGGCAACATGCAAATGAAGCCCAGGAAATTCAACTCCCGGGCTTCATTTGCAACTCCGGTTGACTTCATTACCACCCAAGTTTGAACTAGGATGGTAGTGTAGACATACCCTTATTGTCTAGAGTTGAGCCCTGTCTCCGTTACAAATATGATAAAGGTAATAAATTAGATATGTCCAGAGGTTATAGTGGAAATGATGGAGCCCTGTTCAATTAATTCTTTTTAAAGCCAGCTGAATTTCAACAGTATTTGATTACAAATACTTGTTTTGTGTGTGTGACAGGAGTAATATCAGACTGAGCCCCTGACTTCCATTGCTGTTTTGGTTCTTGTGGGATGGAATCTCTATATTAGAAAGCAGCAGCTTCCCACATGAATATACTTTTAACATGGACATTTCCATTTCTTATCTCTTTTTAAAAGATGGACCAAAACATAATAATTTACTGTGGGTTTGTGGCATTTTGAACCATTAGTGTAAAATAATATTGTAACACAGTAATATAGTTTAATCATATTTCTTTCTTTTGAATCAATATTGGTTTGTTCATCTGAGCATATAAAAGCTGATGCACAGTGGATTTTTTTAAAATTAGGTTTGTGCTTTTTTTGCTTCTTTATGGCTTATAAAATAGGCTAGAATGGCTTTACTTTTTTTCCCCAGAATTTTATTTTCTTACAAATATTGGGAATGTCACATTCGGCCTTCCCTGGTTTTGCTCCGGGCTGGGCTGGCTGGATCTTTTACAGACATATTTTTTCCAAAATGTTATTTCGTTATTGCAGTTAAATAACATTAAAAAAAATTGGAAATAGGCCAGCTAAAAATCCCTCAATATCTATTGTCCATTAACCTACATTCACTCTCTCAGCTCTTTTGAAGTCATCATATTATGCATTTGCCACTTACTAGAACTCTTGCCTATACTAGACCTTTTTTTCTCAAAATGTTATGTTGTCATTTCACCATCAATTAAAATAGGGGTGGGGAACCTTTTTTGGAAAGGGGGCTGCTGACCCACAGAAAAATCAGTTAGGGGACCACACAAAAGTGAGAAGCAAAAAAACCCTCATTGGCCCCAACTGAGGAGAAAGACATTCCCAACATGCTTGGGGGGGAGGGAAGGGAGGGTGGGCGCAGGCACAGGCTAGTAGATTTTCTGGGTCCCACTAGGCTCGGGTGGGGCCAAAAATTAGGGGTTCAGTGTGTGGGAGGGGGCTGCTGGGAAGCAGACTTGGGGAGTGGGTTCTGAGCAGGAGTGGGCTGGGCGGGGAGCCCTGAGCCATGTGGGGCAGGATCTAGGCAAGCTGAGGGCTGCATCTGGAGTTGTAGTCAGAAATAGGAGTTGTAGTACAGAGTCACTGGCAACTCCTGTTGCCAAGTTGTACAATTTAGTAGTTAAGATGTCAGGAGTAGGTCCACTTTTATAGCTCAGAGCACTGGTGAAGCTGTAAAAGTGGTAATGACTGTGAGAGATTCTGCTAGACTATTTCTCTATTTTTTTAGCTTGTTTGTTCATTTAACAAGCCTATTTTTGTTTAGTCAGTTCAACTGTTTCCCCTGTACAGTTGGTTAATCAGTTTCTTCTGTTGTTTTCATGAATCTGAAACACAAAGTGAGAGAAAATATAGTTTAATCATGCCCCAAACAAGATAAAAACATGATTGCTAATGTGGAAGCAGGAAGCTTTAGCTGGTAGGAGAACTCGCAAATAGGAAGGGGAGCCATGGCGGGCTCCCATTGCCACCTGCAGGGACGCAGTAAGAAGCGAGGGAGGGGATTGTTGTCCCAAGAGAGTGCAGCAGCTGTGGAGCCAGAGTGTGTGGGAGTCCTTGTGTGCAGCGTGAGGCTGGAGCCACGACTAAGCAGAGTCACAGCCCAGGAATGCAGAGCAGCTAGTGCTCCTGCAGGACCCAGAAATGTTGGGGATTTAACATGTGCTAAGAAAAATCAAAGCAAAAAAAAGCCCAAGAGGAAGAACGAAGCCCGTCCCAGGGAGGAAAAAGAGGGGCAGGCTACTGCCATCCCACCTTTTCCAAGATTGGGGCAGTAGGGCCACAGGATGGGGTTTTCACAGATTTCCCCTCCGAGTCCTCCCCCACAGTTCCACCACACCTCTTTGGCTGCGTGAGCCTCCTCCTGCACCCTCCCCTCTGGCCAGACACCTACCCCCAGAGAGAGGGTGGGTGGCAAGCCTAGCGAGCAGGGGGCACAGCCCCCTAGTCAAAGCTGAAAACAGTTTTTCCCTTTTTTAGACAATTTCCTCTATATTGTATTGTATTTTATATCTACATACTTTAGATTGATGATGAACTTCAGATATCAAGAATTTACTGCAGCAAAACTTGGTTACATTATTATTGTTCCTTGGTAATAATCCCTAAGCAACTATGCAATAATAGCTTTAGAGTCAACAATGAGGTTGTTAACTAATGGTCCAATGCAAAGTGAAGTGCTATTAGCAATCTAACAATCTAATTTTCATAGCAGTAATGCTAGATTTACATGAGGATATCACTGACACAAATATTCATCAGTGATAATATAATCAATCATGTGTTTTTAGTGGCTAATAATCAGTCTCTGTAACAAGAACTAAATATCCGCTCTATTAAATTAAAAGTGTAAACCCTGTAATATACTTTATGAATTATGATACAATATGTCTGTTTATTTGTTGGGTTAGTAAATATATTTGGTACAGACTCAAAAATGTCATTTCAACAGGTCTCCTAAATTCAGAAGAATATGTTTATCTGCTTCTTTGTATTTGTGTTGGCTTTCTGGAGAGGGCACGTGGTAAAAGGATTGTAAATGAAACACAGTATTCATCCTGAATGTGGGCCCAATCCTAAAAAATAAAGTGCACGTGCTGAATTTTACACACCATGATTCCATGGAAGCCACCGGAAGTGCTTGCAGTGCATTCCAATGAAGCATGTAAATAACTGTTTCCAGTATTTGGGCCTATATTTGTGGGATTCTAGGATTTTCTTGATTGTTTTGTTTTATTTTCTTCTCTCATGGCTAAATAATAAAAATCCCATTCGAGTAGATAATCAAGATTTTTTTCCAATAGAAGCTTGTATGCTTTTGAATTAATACTATTTGACTTATTTAGATTTAAAATAATAAAAAGACACCTGTTCAAGGTTCAAGGTGCCCAATCACATTAATTATACAGTACAATGAAATCCAAGCAACATTCAAATAATCAATCCAGGAACTCAGCTAGCCATAAGCTTACAAAAGCTCTTTCTCTTCCTTTTCATCAACTTGGGAAGTATCCTCTCAGGTCTCTCCAAAAGCCCTGGCAAACAAATGTATTATGCAACAACCTGGAATTCAGCAGATTGTGCAGTATCACCAAATTCAGGCTATTTCTGACCTGGGAAAACACCACCTCTCCAGCCACCCTCTCATGTAGTGCAGGGATCCAGCTCAGGCACTCCTGCTGGCTTTGGCAGTATATCACAGGGTGACAGGCAGTCCCTGAGGTAGGCCAGTCCCAGATTGTTTAGAACTGTAGAGATCATAACCAGCACCTTAAATTCTACCCTGGAGGGCAGCTAGTGCAGGTATTGAGTACAAGGGTTATATGCTCCCTGAAGATGTCCTGTTCAGCGTGGTGGATTACCCAGTAGGCTGACAGAGCCTGTGTGCAGGGGCCCGAGCCAGGAGCAGGTCCCACTTCTGGGCTGTGCCCACAAAAGCTCACAATACCATCTACATGTTTTGTTAGTCTATAAAGTGCTACCAGACCATTTGTTGTTTTTTTCTGTACAGACTAACTCATCTAACCTCTGAAGCTTCTGAATTATTTATGAAAGCCATAGTTTTGCAATAATATGTATGGCCAGTAGATGGCAGCACATAATTATTTGGTTATAATAGAGATAGACATTTTTGCTACAGATAGTTCTTCACTTGCAGTATTTCGATAAATTGATAAATTATGGGCCAACTGCATTAAAATCAATGTATTTGCACAGAGTGTAAATCTCTATAGAACTTATTACTATGTTTTTTCTAAATTACAATTAAAGCTAATATAATAACATAAAGATTATACTTTTCTTTTTAAAATTACTGTGGCACTCTGAAACCATTTTCTACTATCCATTGTAGCTTCATGATGTTTCTGAAAACAGACCCATGGTACAAAGCCATTTTTGTATCATTTTGGGTATATCTACCCAGAAAAAAGGTCATTTTTCCGAAAAAACTTCAGTTACATCCACACTGCAATTGTGTTCTTTCAAAAAAAAAATCCAAAGAACAAAGGGTTTTTTCCAGCATTGGTAATCCTCATTCTACGAGGAAGAAGCCTTTTTGCGAAAGAGCTCTTTCGCAAAAAGGCATGTGTGGACGGGGATAGAGGGAATTATTTTGGAAGAAGAGGAAAGAGGAAAAAGCACAGGTGCCCTGGTGGCCATTCCATTCATAACAATCACAGCTTACATGCAAAAGAGCGTCCATTCAGTCTGGATGCTCTTTCGAAAAAGCAGATCACTTTTTCGATACACTTTTGCAGGGTGGACGCTCTCTTTCAAAAAAAGCTTCTTCCGAAAGAAGCCTGTAGTCTAGACGTAGCTTCTGCTTGGTATCTGTTCTTTGCTTTTGAATGAGTTACACGTTGATTTTAAATAGCTTATTAAATTACTTTACATGGTGTCTAAAAAGACATACGTGAGTTTGTAATTGGAGGTTAAGTTTCTAGCCTCTTAAAATATTTACAAAGGAAGCATATATATGTTACAGCGATGAATATTATAGAAAACCCTAAGATAGTCAGGTAAACTAAAGTTCAGTAGGATCGCCTTTACCAATAAGAATTTGAGGTGCTGTGTTCATAACCTTGCAGGACTGAGCTCGCTATGACCCTACATCATTAATATAATACTTACATCATTAATTAGGCTGTTCATATTCTCCAGAAACTGTAAAACAGTTGGGGTACTCCTCAAAAAATGAAGTTTACAGGATCTTTCGAAAAAGTCTTTTCTTTTTGAAAGAACTGCATCTAGACAGCAGTTTCACTTTTGAAATAGTGTTTTTCGAAAGAATGCTGTGATGCGATTATGCAAATGAAGGGTGAGAAATTCAAATCTCGGTTTCATTTGCAATTTCAATATGTCTAATTTACATCCCTCTTTCAAAAGAGGGATGTAGTCTAGACATAGCCTTGGCGGAACTCTTGGCATGGGACTAACAGTCTGTTGTAATACTCCCCTCCAAAACACAAAAACATAATTAAAGTCCTACCCATGAACTAAGATCCCTGTAAGCTGTGCAGCTGAGAGGCTGCACAGCTGCCTATTTAGTACACTATAGGTGCTCAATGAAGCCGCGCAAGTCAGGAACCTGCAGCAGCCCTGGGAGGGCTGCCCCACCTCTGGTCCCAAACTAAGGACCACCCTGCAACTGTTGAGGCTGCTAGGCACCAGCCCAGACCCTGCCACAGGCAATCTGGCCCAGATCTGGGTCCTGTCACAGCAACTTGGTCCTGATCCTGCTGCAGAGGGCATAGCCCCCATCCAGCCACGGCTCCTCAGCTGCGGTGCCCTGGCCGTGGCCTCCATTCAGCCACTGTTCTGGCCATGGCTCTAGCTCCCATCTGGCTGTGGTGGCCTGGCCCCAGCCTCAGCCCCCATCTAGTTGAGGCCCCCATCCAAGTCCATCCCCCATCTGGCCATGGTGGCCAAGCCCCAGCTTCAATCTTGCCTCATCCTTGTCCCCCATCTAGTCATGATCCCCATTTGGGCCCAGCAGCCTGCCCCACTCCCTTCTAGCCCCTAGGTGTTCCCCCACACTGAGGTGCTGCTATGAGAAGAGAGAGAGCTGGAAAGTCCTCTCCCAGTAGCTCTGGAGCACCCTCCTTCATCCAAACCTTTTCCAAATCTGGCCCTACCCCATAACCTGTATCCTCAGCGGAGCCCTCACGTTCTTGCACCCCAACCTTCTGTCCCAGTCCTAGACTTTTTAAAAAACACTGAAATTAACCATAAAATTACTTTATCCAAAAATACATCTGTGGTATATCATTGGGTAGAACCAATCACATCTGCATTTAAATGCCTCATGAAAACTCACGTCAGCACAGTCCACAAATGTTAACCCATTTCAACTTAAATGCATGCACTCCTCCAGCATAAAAAACAACAGCGAAACCATCTTAGACTTCATTCTGGATATTCCATTATCTCCAATTTGTATTGTCTGTTCGTTCACACTGCGAACATATAAATGTGTGTGTAAACACACACACACACACACACACACACACACACACACACACAGAACCTTTATTACAAAAGGCCACACTGTATTTTTAAAACAACATAACTATTTCTTGAAGCAGTTCTGTTGGAAATACTGGTAACTAAGTGCACATACATTTGCACTAGAGGGTCTATATACCATTTTATCTTTATTATTTGGTGGGTTGTATGTTTATAATACAGTAGCTCCTAGAGTTCTCATGTGACATTAGGGCCTTATTGTGTAAAGTCTTGTACATAAACATAGTAAGAGACATCCCTGCCTCAAATATCTTACAGTCTCCATGGACAATGTAGACAAACGAAGAATTACTATTGTCATTGGAAATGGGCACAGATTGAATGATTTTCCTAAGGGAACACAGAGAGTAACTGAAGTAAGCTCTCCGAAGTTCCTGTTCAGTGTGTTGACCACACGACTAAGGGCTTGTCTACACTACAAAGTTTTGTTGATGAAACTCATGTCAACATGGAAAAACTGACAAAACCAAAATCATCAGAGTGAGTTGTTGGCACTTGCTCACTCTGTCGACAGATCATGTCCACCACTGACAGCATGCACAATTCACCGTGAGTATCCCACAGTGCCTGTGGAATGGAATGCAGTGCATCTTGGGACTGCTTCCCTGTGCATCCCATGTAAATACTTGGGGCCACATATCCATGTAAGATAATGATTAAAAAGCCTGTACTTGGAATTGAAGTGACTGCAATGTGAATTCATGGAATACAAAATAAAAATGATTTACCAGTATACAATTTTGCCTTTACTGATCAAGAGAAAGCATAGCGACCCTCACCAAAACACACATTTGCTGGTAAAGAAGCACAAATGATTATGCGCTACTTACATAACCTGCTTAATCCTGTCAGCGGTGTAAATCAGATCCAATAGTTCAGAATTTACCCTGTTGATCAAGATGAAAAGAAAATCTCATTACAGATCATTGGTGGAAGTGATACATAGCAGAAAGTAGAGAAAAGTGTAACTAAAAAATTCAGGCTCAGTTGTGTTTTCAATTGTGTAGCGTATTATTTCTCAGAGGCAAAATAGGGATAATAAGTCTTTATAATAATGAGAGATGTAGGGAGAACTGAAATGCACAGGTTTGTGCATGTGCAGGAAGACAGATTTTATGAGACAGGCTCTGTTAAAGACTTTCTTTGTAATCTGAAGGACATATTTTCAAAAATACTCAGCTTTTGTGTAGGCACCAAAAAATAAGTGGCTACAATTTTCAAAGAGCTCACTAGATTGGGCACTGCAGTATCTCAAAAATCTGGCTGTAAACAACACAGAGGCTTTTCTGGATGTTGAGCACCTTGTATAAACTAGCCTTTATTTAGGTGTTTAAACAGGAGCTGAGCAATTCTGAAAATCGTCCTGTCATAGGTGTCGAGCACTGGAAAATCTGGCCTGATTGCCTTCACTTTGAATTCAGTGGGTGCAGCTGTGGAGTCCTCTGTACTTTTGATTCTTCATCTGTAAAATGAGGATCATAATATTCATATCTCAGGGATGGTGAGAGGATTAGTTCATCACCTGTCAGGTATGGAGTGGGCAGTTAAAAGGAGAAGGCCAAGCTCAGTTTGGTGCTGAAAGCCCAGTCTTAGCCAAGGCTGGAGATAGCTTGCTACTTGGATAAGCCTTCCAGGGGTGGCTTGACTGAGCCCAGGAACACTGAAGGGACTGCCTGCACGAAGACGAGCTCTGTGTAGGAGGGCAGAGTTGTGTCAAAGATTGCTCAAACAACTCTGTTTTGAGTTATACATTTTCCTTTTATTTTAATACCTCAGAAGGGGTATGTATCCAGTGTGTACTTGACCCATAAAAGGTGGCAACTGACCATCAAAGACACCTCAACTGGGTGTCTGGCATGGTTGGGCCAGAAGGAGGCACCATGGAATCAGACCCTCTCACAGTGACATAAAGCTACTTTCCCTTACCCCTTCTTTTACCAAGTGCCATTCTTTGCCAATGGCCTGTGCCAAGACAGACAAAGCCAAGGAATGAGCCCATTGTTCCAGTTTGTATGGTGAAAATGCCTTCACAATGCTTGCAACCCACGCTCTTCTTCCCAGCATCCATGAGACACCCTATGTTTTTCAGCAACAGCAAAATGAGTGCAGTTAGGAAGGCCACGTGAAATCAGTTCCTGTTTAATTATTCATCGTACATCACTATGCTATAGTCAGGAAATAATTTAAAAGCCTCCCCTCCCCTACCACTTTTAGCTGCTTTCTTTAAGGTGTGTCTTTTTGATTCCATATCAGTTGCTACTGAAAATATACAACTATTTATAAACTCTCTCACAACAGGCCATATGGTCCAAATTTTGACTAAAAATGCACAGAAGGAGATGCAAAAATTCTGTAAAAGAGAGGTGTAGTAAATTGATACATACCAGACCATCTGCTTCCATGAGAAACTGATGTTATGACAAACTGCAGGAGGCATGGTTAAAAACCCATTGTAAAGAGTCAAACCTCATTGTGCTGTTTGGAGATCTTTTGCCAATCTTCTGCATGGTACCACTTTTGTACAGGCAGTCCCCGAGTTACGTGGATCCGACTTACGTTGGATTCGCAGTTAGGAACAGGGCCCTCCCTCTCCCTGGTCTCCAGCAGACCAGGGAGAGGAAGCAAAGCGGCGGAACACGCGGGCAGCGGACAGCCCAGACGTGTCTGGGCTGTCCGCTGTCTGCGTGCTCTGCGGCTTTGCTCTGCTTTGCTCCCCATCCCCCTGGTCTGCAGACCAGGGGGACGGGGAGCAAAGCAGCGGAACACGCGGGCAGCGGACAGCCCAGACGCGTCTGGGCTGTTCGCTGCCCGTGTGCTCCACGGCTTTGCTCTGCCTTGCCCCCC